ATCTGGTTCTATAAGAAGTAGTTCTGGAATTTCTGGATTTTCTTTTAATAGCCAAATATTCATGTGTATCAAGTAATGAATTTACATTATCAGATTTGGCAGTTAATATTTGAATACTATCAGTTAAAGCTTGTATTTGGACCAATAACATATTCTGATTATTATTTGCATTTTGATTATTGCCAGTATTTATCTGATTTAATACTACATTATTTTGTTGCTAATTATTTCTATTAGTTCTCTGATGATTATTTTCAAAGTTATTTTAATTATTCCAGTATGATTATAACTAAAGATAATTAGAATGGATATGATCTGGCTCATTATAATTATAACAGATTAAGACTAGTTTAGAATTTTGATTATTAGATCTATAACCTGAACTATTTCTGTTATAATTTGATTTTTTACTGGTTTTAATACTTTCTATTTGCTAGTTGAGATCTTGAAGTACTACCAATATAGCATTCAGTATTGAATTATTCTGGATCTGAGATTGATAATATTCTTGAGTTAGTATATCTGTATCTGCTTTTTTTATATTTTTTACAACTTGTATCATATTTAAGAAAGTTCCATCAGCTAAGATCTAAATCTATTTTCTGATCTCTGATTTTAATCCTTTTCTGTATGTTTAAATTTTATATTCTTCTGGATATTTATTTTTTGGATCTATTTTATGAAGTAGATTTATGAATTTATCTGTATATTCTTCTACAGTACCAGTTTGTTGTAAAGTTTTAATTTCATCTTGTCATTAGTTAATTCTTTCTCAAATGTGAAAGTAAGCTACAAATTAATAACTAAAACTGTATGATTGATCCTAATTGTCATTTCAAGCTGTTAGTTAGATGATATCATCTCTTCCTCTTTTGTCATACCATAAGGCAGCAGCATCTTTCAGATATCTTTTAACTAATTGTACTTTTCTAGTATTAATAAGACTATTAGCTTGGGTGATAATATTAAAGTCTTTGAGTCACTCTGTTAGATCTTGGTTATTTCTTCAGTATTTTCTAATTGGAATAATGATCTTTTCTATTAGCCAGGCATTCTAATCAGCCATATGATTAGTAAGAGCTCCAAGAGTTACAATAAGATTATTCAAGTTATTATTATTATTCTGTTATGCCATTGGATTTTCTTCTTCTTCTGATAGTTGATTATTATCTTCTAAATCTATTTGAATATCTTTTTCCTCTGATTGATCATTACTGTCTTAATCAGTATGGGTATCTTCTTTTGAACTAGAGTAATTACTATTTTCTTCTGATTTTGAAGTTAATATAGGTTATATAGGAGATATTGGTGAATCTTCTAAGTTCTTTGTTTCTGAATAGTATCTGTCAATATTACTATTAACAAAAGAAATTCTTGATTGAAAGATAAAGTCTTGATGGATGAATCATTAGTAAAATTATTTAATTAAATCAAGTTATTCTTCTTGAGTATTAATACGATCAAAGATAAAAGTATTTATTAGCTTTACTATTCTTTGTCTCAGTTAGCTAATATGTATTTCACTAAGATCAAGTTGAATTAGTTCTTGAAATAACAGATATGTAATTTGATTAATTAATACTACTCCAATATTTTCTGTGAGCAGGTGAAAAATATAAAATTATAAAGTAATTTGGGATTGAAGAGGATGATAATGGGAACAAAAGTCTTGGACAGGTATCCTAACAGTAAAATTAGGATCTTTATGTGCTTCAAGATAATAATTAATTGATAATCTAATAAAAGAATAATAATTGTTCATGAAAACTCAAGATATAAATATTTATTAATTATGAATAAAGAAAGAAAAGGTATAATAAAAGAATATAAAAAGTGTATAAGTATAAAAAGAGATGTGAAAAGGATTTTTCTTCATAGAAAAGATATCAAAAATATGTTATAATAAATTGATAAGTGAAGTTTTACTTAAATTCATCTTAATGATATAGGATTGGGAGAGACTAAAATAATTAAAGGTAACAAGAGGAAAATTAGATTATAACTTTCAATAATAACAAAGATTTCTAAGATCTATATCAATATTTATGAATATTGTCTTAATAAAGAATAAATAAATAAGGAAAAAATAAAATAAATCAAAGAAATAATAGAGATTATTTAAGTAAAGTCACTAGTAATTAATATAATTCAAGATTTGAATTGATTAAATAGTAAACTATTAATCAAAGAAGGCTATAACTAAGATAAAGGTAAAAACTAAATTATGAAAGCTAAATAACTAAACAAATAAAAAGAGTATGACTTATTTATAGTAAAGGTCTTCTACTCTCAAAATAATAAAACAAAAAATATAGCTTATTTATAGTAGAGGTTTTCTATTCTTAAAACAATATCAAAAATCAAAAATTAATATAATGTTATAATTTAAAAATCCAAAATTAACTTTATATAGTCAAAGAAATAAAATCAAGTGAAAGAAAGTATACTAATATAATTAGATTAGAAAAGTAATCTTTAAAATTATATTTTCCAAATAATTCTATTCAAAACTGTTTATTTCAAGCTGGAATAGCAAGTTCTTTTATATATTTTTCAGATATAAAATTATTATAGTATTATTAGCTAATACTATCTAATATATAAGATATAATTAAAGTACTATAGTATAAATAATTATGAATGGATTATGTTGAAGTACATTGAAAAATGTCAAAGAATATTAAAGAATGTCAAAGTATGTAAAAGGGTATTGAAAAATATGAAAAGAAGCAGAAAAATATTAAAAGATATAAAAAGATGTGAAAGAATATGAGAAAATATTAAAGAATATTAAAGAACATGAAAAGATATTTGAGATCATCATTCTAGTGTAACTGTTCTATCAAAATTAAAAATAATCTTCCACTAAACTATTCTACTATATACATGAATATTATATTACAAGATAATAAAAATGTAAATTTCAAGTATTAAATAAAATATAATATTAAAAATAGAATAGAAATATAATAATAAATATAGTAATAAATAATATAAAAAATATGGATAATTATGAAATGAATAAAAATTATAATAAAATATAGTTTTTCATAACTAGGAAAAGATTAAGAAATTTATGTCACTTTAGTAATAGTATTCAGTTAATGAGAACTATGAGTTTTTATTCAGCTTCAGTATTATTAGAGAGTAAATCAACTATTACTAGATTATTATTTCAAGTTATAGAAGAAAAAAGTATACTTGTATAATACTAACTATTTTTAATTATAGTTTGTGTTATAGAATTTCAGATGATAACAGAAAATTTAATTATATCTTAAATAGTAAGTAAACTTGAAGTAGAAAATTCAGGAGTAATAAGTTTATAAGCTTTAAGTTAATTTTGATATAAGATTTATCAATAATATATCTGATAATAAGTAGAATATAATTTTTATAAGATATATAGCAGAAAATATTTGAACAGAAAAAATATGTAGAGTGATAATGATACTAATTATAATATCTTTAAGCTGTAAATAATTTCTTGATCTATTGATTATAAATATAATATTGTATTAGGAGGAAGAAAATAAACTCAAATATTAGAAAGAATTTCAAGATTTTCTATCTCATGATATTTGATATTATCTATTAAAAGAAGAATATGCCAATTAACTCTATGTATTATATTATTAAGTCAGTTAAGATAATGAGTAAAGACCAATTTTTGCATTCAAGTCTTGTTATTAAAGTAATATCATATAGGAAGAGTATTTTTATCAATTTCTCAAAGAGCAACTGGAGTTTTGTATTTGTAAATAAATAGTAATAACAATTTTTCTCTTATTGAACTGCATGTTATTATAATACTAACATGATCTTTAGATATTTTTTTTTAGCTACAGATCTATGAATGAGAGTTTGACTTGGCTCAAGTTTTAAAAAAGTGTTATCTTATCACAATTAAAGATATTTTCTGAAGAATACTTATGAAGAACCTCTTGTAATTCTATTCAAAATTATGGAATTTCTTTAATTGGGATACTTGCTGATTCTTTTCTTCATTTATATAAGCTAAGTCTATTTTATTTTTTAAATTTTGCAAGCCATCCATCAGAAACATTAAAGACTTGAATACCAAGTCTTCTAGCAAATCATTTTGTTTTTCTTGAATCATATGCTCTTGTAGCATAAGTTCTTGAGCAATAGCTTGATCAATCCAAATTATTATTGCTTCTTCAATTTCAGGAAAGGTGCTTTTTCAATCATGTTTAAATCTGGTGATAGTTGATTCTAGTTCAAAGTATAGCCAATATGAAGACCTTTTGAAACAGCTTGCTTACTAATTCCAAAGTCTTCTGCTAGTTCTCAGCCTTTTATTGAGAGGAAATTTCTTTTTTTTCACATAATTCTCTTTTTCTGAAAAATAATTTTGCATTATTATCTTTTATTATTAACAAAATAATCTCACGCATTATCTAAAATAATAGAAACTCTCACATTATCATAGTTCTCTTAGTTCTTTATAACAAGTAATAGTTCTTGCTTTATTATTTTTTATCAATTAAATACTTTGTCCCAGTCAAGGCAACATGCTTTTTGAATGTTTCTTGACCATCTCTATTCCTAGACTGTGAGAGAGCCATATCAACAGTCTGTTCATCCATAACAAAGAAGAAAAAATTTTTTCGCTCTAATCTGACTAATCATTATCCCTCCACTATATTGAACAAAAATCCACAATATAGTGATTTCATACTACATACACTATATAGAGGCGCTCTAGACTATAATCAATCAATCATATTTCCTCCACTAACCGAGATCTGCATAGTTTCTATATAAATACACTATATAGAGCTAGTTTAATTAGGAGGAAATAAAGTTTCCAACATTTCTCCACAATATCTGAAATCCACTGTAGCGGAGGTCCACTATAAAGAGAGCCACTGTGTATTATGCGAACTAAATACTGATCTGTTGCACAACCTGTTTTAAATCGTTCATTACACTTTGTAACAAAGTCTTTACGCTTGGTTAGATACTTTACAAGAACAATGGCAGAGCGTGCTTATAATAGAATTTGTGCAACCATTCAGGTAAAGTTTTTGCACAGAAAAATTATCTTCAAACGTATTCAACAAACCAATTTTTGCATAGATCACCGGAGAGAATTGTGATCCCATTCGGCCCAGAAGGCAACCCGCCTTGTTGTCAACCGATTTTATTGATAACAGTGTGGGACGTAATATGCCTTCTTTGGACGTACTATATCAGCCGACCCCTCGGAAGGCAACGCTACAAGAGCAGAACAAATACTTTGCGAGAGGTCTGGAACTCTTAGCCGAGAAGATAGAGCCAACCTTATTGTACCGTCCTCGAACAGTAAATCTCACATATTCGAAACGAAAAGGGAAAATATTGAGGTTCATGTTCGGTACGTCGATTCGTTGCAGACCAGCGAGAAAGGAAGCGCAAGCATCGAGAGTAAAAACAATGAAAATATTACAATGGAGCTCGGAGCCTGCTCTAACCAAAGTACAATTGGCGAACTGCAGACATCCTTTGGGAAATTGTTCAGAATCGGTACCATGGGAGACGTTACGTGGATAACGGAAATCCCTTGTCCTACCCAAGAAGTTAGGAGGACAATCGAAAGTCATGAATCCATGTCTCAGGAGTCAAAATGTGAAGGACAAGATGAAGCAATTTGCAAAAACTTGTGGTAGTTGATACATTTGCAAACGAATCCGACCGTCGTCATCTTGCATCTTTCATTGGTTGTGAGCTTTCTAATGATGGTGATGAACTTGAATTATACATTCAGTGGGTTGCAAAATTCGGCTTCGATCACATTATTATTGGGGAGATTAACTATGGAATGATTTTTTTAGACTGTAATGGTCGTGTATTTATGTGGGAGGATATGATGCAAGTTTTGTGGCCAATAGGAGATTCTTTGGAAGAGGTGAAATTGAACCATGGAAAAGATAAATTGTTCTGGGTTGTGGAGGATGATGTAATTGTATATGAGTTCGAACCACCATCTGAACGTACGTATGCAAAAAAAATTTTATGGCAATATGTTCATTGTTTACTGATATTTTTACTTGTATTCATTTTTTTCCCAGATGTATACACCACTACAGAAAAGGGAAAGAACAAAAAATTTAAGAAAAAAAAGCACCAAAAACGTCATTAATATGGTTAAGAATGATGAAATAAACAATGTCCTTGATGTTACTGAACTAACGAATAATTAACATACGCTAAATTACATATTTTTATTCTGTGAAGTGACTATATCAATCAATAATGTCAAGCTAATAAAGTTCCGGGTTTTTGCTTTTACGTTCATATGCACATATGCGTTACAAAAATAATCCACTTGAGATTTTATTGCTTAATAATTATGAATATTTAAAGTTTTAGATTTAGTCAATAAGACTCAATTCTCGAAGATGCTCTGGAATAACTATATATGGGTCTTCGTAATACCAGACATACCTTAAAACGATCCAGTTTTCTTCACACAATTCTTTCTTGAGTTGATTCCGTTCTTGCTGTCTGATAAAATTATTAGGATCTCTATGAAAGAATTCGATATACAAGGCAAACTCGTTAAGACGAAGTCACGCTAAGCCGAAATTGCATTAAGCCGAAGTTTTTCTGGTTTACCAAATTTTTTATTATATATAAATTCGGCTTTGTGCGAAATTAGTAAAACGAAAATCTTAATAAGCCGAATAAATTGTCTCTGCCCCCGACCTTCGTCTTATCGAGTTTGCCTTGTACTTTTCGTGTTGTACCCCTTGGATTTCTATAGCTAGACCATATTGGGGAAAATAAATTTTCACGTTTATATTTACTGCAATATGGACACCACGTATTTTTATTTTTTACAACAGAGAAACGGGCAATCCATTCATGACCTGCACCACCGTAATAATGGAAAATTACAATTAACATATTTTTTCAGAAATACAAAAACCACCTTTTTTTTAGTTGCGATTTGTTTTGCATCTTCAAGAATGAATTTTGCAATATGGATACCAAGTATTATGATTTTTTACATTGAGTCGAGAATTCCATTCATGTCCTACAGCACAGCGCCATAATAATATTGACTTGTTATTAATAAAATTTTTAGAAAGACATTCTCCGTTTTTATCATGTGCGATTTTTATAGCATCTTCAAGAGTACAAGGCCTTCTATGCGAACATTTTATGCACCAATTTTTACCATGTATAACATTGTTATCGGTTGCTGACCATTCATGACTTCTGGAACATCTCCACTGTAATAATTTCTTGGTAGCTGTACACTGGGTGGAGAGACACAATCCACCTCCATCTATAGCAATCTTTTTAGCAATTTCAAGATGAAAAGGATGTCAACCTGCACAAACAGGACACCAAGTATTCCTATATTTTATTTTATCAAGTGGAGCATCCCATTCATGATCTTTAAAACATTTCCATCTCAATGGTTGGAAATATTAACATATGTATCTGAAAGGCATAAATCATCACGAGCTCTGGCGATATTACAAGCATCATTTAAGATTATTTTTAATTGCATTGAGAATTAGCAAAGTTTTATATAGATAAATTTCTGTTCAAATTCTACACAAAAAATGAATCTGGTTTTAAACATATATATCAAACCAAATCAAATAGGTCTAAATCCTTAAATTCAATATAATCACAAACTCTAAAAACACTATAATTTATTTAATTATTAAGTATGATCTATACAGATAACTGCCCAATTTTAAGCAATACTAAATGGAAAGATAACTATCAACTTCTAATGATTCATAAGAGTAAAACTTCATCTGATTAGATGAAATGAATCTGGGATCAGTTAATAAATTATAAGAATAGTAATTACTTGAATGATGATAAAAAACATTATCTTATTGCAAAAAAGATAGTGTATTTATATGAAGATGATCTCAGTCATGCTATAAATATAAGTATAATAATCTATTATTTATGTAATTAGCTTGTTTATTCTAAAATAGAATGTGAATATGAGTGTGAATTTTGTCATTTTATAGATAAATATTAGAGCACAAATTGCATAGAAAATGCTTATTGTAATATTAGTTATAAAGACTATATAAAATTTAAAAGTAAATCTGAAGTTAATAACTTTTACTATGAAAAAGAGACAATTCATCATTATGAATTATAGATGCAAAATACTATTAGAAGAGTTAAATATACAAGAAAAAAAAATCAAAGTTATAAAGATAATATAACAAAAATAGCTAAAGTATTTCTATAAATCTAATGGTTTTTATACTTCAAAATTAGTATTATATTACTAATTATTATGAGAGTTTGAAAAGAAATATATCAAGTTAATAATATATAACACATACTGTATATCTATTTATTATATAAATTATTTATATATATCTATTTAAAACAAAATTATTTGAGATATTTCTGAGAGCTAGTACTTTAGACTTTTATTTATTACTATTTTATAATGATTAATAACTATTTTTTTATTCTTAATTTTTACTTACAAACTTTTTGTATGCAAATTAATAATTAATATTTTATTTTAATTATGATTTTATTATAGTAAAACTTCTAAAAAGTTTAATCAAAAGAATATATCATAGACTTTTAGATCTCCTATTATCTTAGAATGAATTTCTAAAAAATATGATTAAATGAATTTCTAAAAAACATGATTAAATTGAGACTTATTTGTATTATATACTAGAGATATATGAAAAAAAATTAAATAAAAAGTGTAAAAAACAAATTAAATCTATAAAATTACTTAAAAATTTATTATATGATATAGATATAACTAATTAAAAATTCAAAATATAAGATATTATTTCAATTTATACATGTAATTATGAGAATAAAATTAATTATCAGATTAAAAAAGAGATTAATATTTTATTTTAGCAATTATTAAAATATAATAAAAAAACTTTTGATAAATTTATATGAAAAATCATTATAAAATATGAAAAATAAGTTAAAAATAATAAGAAATTATAATCTGAAATTAAAAAAAGAAAATAAAATTATAAATAACAGAAAATTTTTTTGAATATTTAAAATTATATTCTATTTATTAAAAAGATTTATCATTTTAATCTAACTATTAAAGTATTATTTACTATCTTAATAAAATCAAAAATTATAAATTCTTAATCTTATAAATACTTATTAATAATTTTGAATACTTTTTTTGAATTATTCATATATTGATATATAATTTTATAAATATTATCCTGACTTTTTATCTTCTAAAATAATACAAGATAACTTAGATTTTACAAATAATTTTAGAAATTTATATATATTTTTGACTTATATATATAAATAAGATATTTTAATATTAGTTACTAATAAATAAGAAATAATTTATTCCTATATTTTTTTTGATTTAACATATAAATTTCTAAAAATAATAATTATACTTTGTTCTAATAAAAATTTAGTTATATCTGAAATCTTATCTAATATTATTTTTTTAAATATGATATCTTTTTAATATTATTTTAGATATTTATAAAGATTTAAAAGTTATCTTAAATTAATTTTATTTTAACTTAAAATACTTATCTATAATCAGAAAATTTTTGAGGGTACAATTTTGCACAGATCTTCAGATCCAAAATCTACACAAAACTTCAAATCTAGTAATAATTGGTAAAGAAAAAAAAATTAAAAAATCTATGCAGATCTGTAACAAAATATAGATCTGCACAGATTTTTTAATTTTTTTTTTAAAATTCTGTATAAAACTTCACAATATCAGTTTCAAGTAGCAGTAATAATTTCAAGTAATTGTAACAGTAGCAATTTCAAGTAACTGTAAAATTCATAGGTTAAACAATAGTAAAAATATTTATTTTATTGTAAACTATATATATATAATAAAATATAAATTTAAAGAAAACTATATTATATAAATTTGCAAT